TGGAGTGCAAAGTGTAGAGTGAGGAGCGAGGAGTGGAAAGTGTAGAGTGTAGTGTAAAGTGTGGAGTGTGGAGTGTAAAGTCTCAGGTGAGGAGTGAGGAGTTTACAGTGCAAAGTGTAAAGCGTGGAGTGTAAAGTGTAGAGTTTGGAGTCTAAAGTGTAAATTGTGGAGTGTAAAGTGTAGAGTGTGGAGTGCGGAGCTTCCCCCATAGACACGGCGACGCCACAGGAAAACCAGAGACTCGAGACGAGACACGTGGGAGCACCAAAACGAACATTTCGTGCTAGACTTCCTCCAATTTTGATATTTTCGACACGTTATCAAACAGGTTGGAATGTCACAAAGTGCCACGCCTGCCACGCAAAACGACATGACAACCTGCTTGGACACATTCGAATAGGAGATGTTTTCCAGCTTCCCCCATAGACACGGCGACGCCGCAGGAAAACCAGCGACTCGAGACAAGACACGTGGATGCAGAAAACCCAGCATTTCGTACGAGACTTCCTCCAATTTTGACATTTACGACACATTATCAAACAGGTTGGAATGTCAGAAAGTGCCACGTCTGCCACGCAAAACAACAACACAGCCTGCCTGGAAACATTCGAAAAGGACAGGTTTTCCAGCTTCCCCCATAGACACGGCGACGCCACAGGAAAACCAGCGACTCGAGACAAGACACGTGGATGCAGAAAAACCAGCATTTCGTACGAGACTTCCTCCAATTTTCACAGTTGGCAACATGACAAAAGGACAGGTTTTGCAGCTTCCCCCATAGACACGGCGAAGCCACGGGAAAACCAGAGACTCGAGACGAGACACGTGGGAGCACCAAAACGAGCATTTCGTGCGAGACTTCCTCCAATTTTCACTCTTTGTAGCTTCAAAATCGACGTTTTCCTACGAGTTTTCCTAGGAACCTCTAAAATTTGCAACCTCAAAATCGATGTTTCGTGTGAGGCTTCCGTCAATTTTCATCACATGTCACAAAATGCCACGCCTGCCACGGAATTTGCACATTGTCGCCACTTGACAAAGCCATGCCAATGCGATTTGCAAAAAACACGTGAAACGACACGTCTAAAGTTGTGCCTGCCACGCAAAATGACGATGGACGCGTCCAAAGTGCTGCGCCTGCCACGAAAACTGCCACGCATCGTCGGAAAACGTCGCAAAAGTATTGCGCCTGCCACACAAAACGACTTTCGACACGTTACAAAACACGTCTGAATGTCACAAAGTGCCACGCCTACCACGCGAAACGAAGCAACGAAACGTTGGAAACCTCCAAAAGTGACAACTCCGGGCACGGCCATACGGGGATCGCGCGAACGGTTGCGAACGGTTGCGAACGTGAACGCAACGTCGAGCGAACACACCCTCAACCCCCAGACCCCCAGAGTGAAGCGGGAACCCTTACATCTTATGAAATCACTTTGAATGGCACCTACAACATATGATTCTGCAACAAATCTGCACAGCTGAATGGAAGGCGGGGCCTCTCGATTTTTTCATTTCAGAGTGGTACTGACAGCTCTTGTAAGAAAGGGGGCTCTCTACGTAGATGCATATGATGCTTTTCCGCCTGATGGCCTATTGACAAGCGGAATCTGGAGCTTCAGCTGCAAGAACTATATATTGGAATCCAAGGCTGAAGAATCTATGAGTATGAGAAGTTCATGGGTAGCCGAAATCCACACGGATCTCTAAGTTTTGAAGCTGAGGAGCATCATACATCCCTTGTCCGGCGAAACAAGCTGTCTTCTGTGGAATCCAAGGCATCCAAACGTTTCGGTTGTTCTCTAACCAGGCGCAGGCCCCGTTCCAGGCCGCACAGCTGAAGCAAGGGTCCATGGCATAGAGCGAATAGCTCCGAAGCATCATTCGATTCAGATCCTGACCGCAACACAAATGGGACGAAAAATGCTAAAAACAACGAGAAAATTTCAAAAACCAGTGGTTTCTGCTGCTTTTTGGGTCTGTTATACATGTTAAATCCTGTTAAATCCTGTTAATGTTCATATTTTCAAGCGAACAATGCAGAAGATGTTCCACGCTGGATTTCCCGTGCGGCTCCTCCGAAGACAGCTTCATTCGTTGAAGCATGACCCGCGCATCTGGCGCCATTGCCATCAGTTCGTTGCTTACGACATGTCTGGGATACTCTCCCTGCCTGGTGGAAGCCATGATTCCATTATACCACTGTGTGAAGTTGAAATTGGGAAAGCGCACGAACACTGGGGAGATCTCAATGAATTCCACGGATGGCGCCCAGAACATGAAGAGAACATCTCTGTACGTCATCACCAACTCTTTGAAAGCCGAAGATCCGTTGTAGTGAGCCACTCCCAGTGCCAGGGGCATGCGCCAAATGGCTGCCTCATTCAACATCATGGCAATTCGATGCTGCACATGAAGGCTCATGATTGCATCGCACATGCCTTCTGAATCCCAAAAGATTCATTCGTCAATACAAGTTTGAACCTGGATAAAACCAACTCTGAACAACCTTGGGTCCATGTTTTGAAACCGTTAAACTAAAACGATCCCAATGCAGCGTAGATTTTGCTTCAATCAGAAGCGTCGTACAAGTAAATGAGAAAGAACCTCTTGCCTGCTTGCCTTGCTTTTGACTATGCTGACTGGTAGTATCCTATCCTTACCAATTTCTTTAATTAAAAGGAAAGCTTCTCATTGCTCATCCGCTTTCCTTTCGTTCCTACCTCAATCCATCTCAACTGTTCTGAGCTATAGTATCAAGCCTCGTCTCAAGCTGCGATTCCGTTCTATGTTTTTTCTGTCTCATCTTTCCCTGCAACAACCCAGCAGCCCGATCCGGCCTTCTGCATAATTTCCACTGGATAGATTGCCCACTTGCCATCACTACTGCCTGTGATGCAAGGAAGGCATCGGCGATTTGATCGGCAACTTGGGGCCAACCACCATCTGCCGTCTCCGCCCCCGAAGCATTCAGCCCGGCTGAAATTCACGTTGAAACCTTCAGCATCTCCAGTAGCATTGAAGTAGAATGGCATCTCAGGATCCGTGTCCCAGGCCCTGCAAGGAAGTAGCAAGTTCTTGTCAATGTCACGGAAATCTTGAAAGAATCGTTCAGGACTGTGGAATCTTGAGTCGTAGCTCCGAAAATCATCCAAGAAAAGCGGGTCTGAAGATTCACGACCTCTTTGCAAGGTCGAGCTGCTGATTTGGATCCCACTTTGACTTACAAAGCCCACGCTCCCCAGATCTTCCAACATTCCACCCATCTTCATCCTTTGCACCTTGTCGAAATGCCGTGCAGAGATATTGTTACTGAGATGTAAGGCCATAGAGACATGGTGTTTGGTTGGTCTTCCGGTGCAACTCTGATTTTGTGCATTTTCGGGCTGTTCACACCCAGCCAGCGCATAAAACGCATGTGCCATGTTGCCAGTGCCTCGTGAATCTACAAAGACATTGTAGCCAAGCACTTCTTCCACCAAGATTTGGAAGACCGCAACGGGAGTATCAACTTGAAACTTCTGACCATAAACGTTCCATATGCCTAAAGGCTGGCTAGTCCCATTTCGGATCAAATTCTTGCGCCGCTCGAGGGGTATAGCCTCCTGAAGGCAAGAACTCCAAGAAATTCGAATGTGGGCCGCCTCGGTCCAAAATGTCCGAACACAATTTCATGATATTTCATGCTGATATAGTTATAGTTCATGGACGGGTTCAAAACATCGCGTCAAAGTTGGATCAAATCATGACCCTAACAGTGAGCCGCTTTCAATGACAGATCGAGAAGTGGCAGCCTTTGGCACTAGAAGCACCAAACAATGGACATGACGTGGCATGACATGACCCATGCAAGCAACTAGAAGCAAGAAGGAATGCGAACTGTCCTGTCAAAAACGGATTTTCAAGGCAATCTGACAGCCAGTGGATACAACATGATACAACACTTAACAGCACAAAACAGCATCCGAGGTGCAACTATCAGCAACATTGCCATCGATGACTGCGCCATCAGCTTTTCGTCCAGGGGTGTCCAACTTTGCACGCGAAAAAGGATTTTACTTTGAGGACCGAGCCTATGAAGAATATTGAAGAATCTGCAGTGAAGGACTTCTTGTGATCACTGGACTAAGTGAAGCGGAATTTAACATTTCGTGGTGCTTGAAAAGACTTGATTGACTGGACTTCTAGATGAGCAGACCTGTTCCGAGCAATGCTTCGCATTGGCTGCGCCATGCAATTCTTGGCTGCTAAACGTAGCATAACGTAGCCAAAGACTGGATGTGATTTGATTGATGCTGCAGTTGGCTCAGGTTCATGACGAGAACACATTCTGATATAAAGCTTCATTTTCCGCCCAAAAAGGTTCAAGCAAGATGCGGCAATGATGAGTGTATGTAAAATCCGCTCACGTCTGCTTTGCAGACCATGTTTTTTCGCTTAAGAGAATGCTACGCAAGTAAAGGTAGCAAGATGGCACCAAACATGTCTCAGACATGTTTCACGTGTGCCATAGATCATCGCTGTTGATGCTTCCAGCCTCACTATGACCTTGGCATTCTTCTTTCTTTGAAGTATTGGAACGTGGAACCTGGCAGGCATTGGGAGCCCTACTGTGCCGCTCTGCTCACAGCGGTAAAAACAAATGATGCTTGCAAAATTTCGATGGAACCAACCGATATCACTGCCATGTCATGTGAAGAAAAAAACGCCCCCTAGTAATAAGGGCTGACTAAAGCAGAAGAAACCTGAAAGGAGTTGAAGACTGAGTCAAAACCCTCTTCGAAATCTTGGTTTCTCAAGTGACAGGCTCGACATTGCAAACTGCTGGAAATGAAGTCAAAGCGAAGGGGTCCCAGAGTTTCTGAAACCAAATCCATCTCTACTTCTGAAACTTTAGCCACCAATGGACAATGCATCAAACCTACCTTCTAGGGATAGAAAACTTAAGAAGCCGGCGACCAAACACCCAAAGCACTACCTGGTCAATTCCTTCAAGAACAGGCTGAATATGTGGCACGGTTCCGTTTAGCTTCGTAATTTTCTGTCATCCAATATTAGTCGTTTCATGTTGTTTCTGAATAAGGGTGGCTGTCTTTCACATCCGGCTTGGAGATTTCTGTATTACATTCTGCCAAGGTGCAACTTCTGCAGAAACTTCTGCAAAAACGTGAGAATCGACGGGGTCCATTTCATTCAGTGCCTTTCTCCTCAAAGGGACAGCAGGTGATCACCTGAATCGTAATCCCCCTTGGAGTGTTTCTGGACGCCATGATGTTAATGTTTCTTATGTTTATGTCTCACCTCGGCATCGCTTTCTACGCACAACTCACAAAGAAAATGAAAAAAAACAGCGAAGGCGACATTTTTGGTGAAACCAGCGACACTCTCAGAAACCCAGGAATCCAGGAACCAGCCAAAAGAACTGTACATGTGACTGTTCAATTTGGGATTCCAGCACACATTTGCTCAGAACAATCATTGCGAATTCTGATGTGGAATGCATCGGACGTGCAAAAACACCAACAGTTAAATGACACGAAGAATGACAAGTAATAAGAAAATATATGATTGTAAAGACGTAAAATCACAGTAGACGTTGATCCTATAAAGCAACAGCGATAAACAATATGTCCCCCCCAGCTGCGACTTATATGCGCCCAGGGGCGGGACTATATTTATATTAAAATTGCAGGTACGTCAGCGCTGGCCAGGCACCGATATCACATCCACTTGGTGCGGTCTTTGTTAGATGAGGCACACCAAGGGACCCTCATCCCCCTGCAATGTACTGAAGTTTTACATCTATACAATCTACAGACGGTACACACACACACAGACAGAGACACAGACACAGACACAGACACACACACACAGACACACACACAGACACACACGCACACAGACACACACACACAGAGACACAGAGACACAGAGACACAGAGACACAGAGACACACAGACACACAGACACACACACTCACACACTCACACTCTCACACACACACGCAGACACACGCCCCGCCGCAGCGGGGCAGATGAAATGACAATGAAAGTGAGGTGGCAATGAAAATGAAATGACAATTACTTAACCAGGACGCGAAGAGGGGAACGCAAAAGAAGAGGGACAGAGAGAACACCAACACGACACACCTGGCCCCGAACGGGCAAACCCTGAAAAGGCAAGGGAAAAGAAAAGCGGAGGCCGACGGACAACGGAACAAGACCAGCGGAGGGGGGGAAAACGGAAGCGCCTGAACCAACCTAACATGGCGAAAACCTACGTCTACCTCAGCACGCAAAGGACCCAACCTACCTGAAGAGGGGAGAACACAAGAACACATGAAATAAGGGACCCATGGGGAACTAGTTAATAAAAAGATGCAACCACATGTCATGCAGAATCCCCTCGTCTGGCTCACTGGCCACAGTTTCAAGTCAACCACATGGACAGCTTACGTCGTCAACCCTTGAATTACGTGCACAATTGAACCTCACCAGAGACCATCAAGAGGAAAAGACCACACCTAAAGTCATGTGCCTGCCTGGTCAAATCATCATGAAATGAAATGAATGCTGATGCCTGTCTGTCAAACTCTCGAGCCGTATTCAAAAAGAAGGAATGTTGTCGCGGCTTCAGGCTATGCAGAAACCCGCAGTCAAAAATGGTGAGTCCCCAGCACAGCGGGCAGTAGTCAAAACACCGACAGTCGACAGGGTGAAAATCGAAAAAAGGCCAGCTGTTTCACTTTACTTAGACGAATTACTAGCTTAAAATGTGTAAATTCAGAAATCAAGTCGTTGCATCAATCTTTTGCTTAGACAAGCATTCCCCGAGGGGATCGTGCCACCTTGACGAATCCAGCATGAGTCACACACTTGCTCAGAACAATCATTGTGAATTCTGATGTGGAATGCATCGGACGTGCAAAAACACCAACAGTTAAATGACACGAAGAATGACAAGTAATAAGAAAATATATGAATGTAAAGACGTAAAATCACAGTAGACGTTGGTCCTATAAAGCAACAGCGATAAACAATATGTCCCCCCCAGCTGCGACTTATATGCGCCCAGGGGCGGGACTATATTTATATATTAAAATTGCAGGTACGTCAGCGCTGGCCATGCACCGATATCACATCCACTTGGTGCGGTCTTTGTTAGATGAAGCACACCAAGGGACCCTCATCCCCCTGCAATATACTGAAGTTTTACATCTATACAGATGGTACGCACGCACAAGCACATTTCGCGCACTGTTCAATGTAGGCCAAGACAAAAAACCAACAAACGGAAGCAAACATGAAACAAACGGTTAAAGGAATGTGCACAGCGACGAACACAAAAAGATAGAACTGATTGAAATCGTCAAATATCGTCAAATCTAATGCTGTGAGCACAAAGTAGCTCCACAAAGCTCAAGTTGAATTCCTCATGACTTGTGACGCCGGCCTCGGTTCCAAACTTCTGAATCGCTGGCAGATCTGGGATACTTGCCTCCCAAATGCAGAGATTCTTGGGTCGCTTGAAGTCAGCCCCTGGCACAAGTACCAAAAATACCTAAAATGAAACGGATCATCTGTTTAAGAAATCTTCTTGACTCTACTCACGGACCAGAAAAAAAACTTACAGAGGCTAAGCCGCTGACATCTCATGCGGCAAAAAAAAAGTGTCGGAAAATGATACCAACGTATTTATGTTTTGCTCATTCTTCCCTTTTTCCCAGCACATGTTTCGAACACGCTTTGCACACACACACACTTGCTCAGAACAGTCATTACGAATTCTGATGTGGAATGTATCTTACGTGCAAAAAACACTCCAATTAAACCTGACAGGAATTGGTTGATGACCAATTCCTAGAAAAATCGAAATGGTTCTCTCCAAACAGATTGCGACAGCCGTGCAGGCAGTGAAGTGGAATCGAAAGGAAAACTGAAAGTTTGGTTGGAAAACTGTTTGAAAAACGACATGCCGGTTCTGGGCTTGGCCGGTTGCCATTGACAAAAGAAAATTGGTGCAGGCGCAGATTGGCGTCCCAATCTGCATCACCAGATCAAATGGGTGCCTTCGTTGGTAGCGGTCCCAAATGATCTGCCGCTACTCCCTGCAGTATGTTTAGTGCCGACAAAATCAGGAAAAATCGCAAAAAGAAGTTTTACATCTGTTCAGATGGTTTACACACACGCCCTGCTAGCGCAGGGCTTTTTTGACACCTGAAAGGTTTGTCACGCTCTGATACGGTCAACTGGTATTGGATTTTGGCATCAAAAGACCAGTGACAAAGTATGAATTACCGGCCCCTTCAGAAGTTGAAGTGCAGCTCTTGCTTCGCTCAGTCGGAGATTTCCGAAAGGTCATTTAGCACTTGATTCTGAGCATGTTGGGAAAGAGTCTGCGCAGTGATTGCCAAATGGCTCGAAAGGTGAGCCAAATCGCTTGCCGTGAACAACTGAATAGGGTTGGTATTTGGATCTGCCGGAGGGATCTCAAGCTTCTCAAGGATCGGTGCATTGTACTCCCTGTCAGATAGGAGCATGTTGTGGAGCAAAGATGCCAGCTGATGAACCTGACGTGGAATCGACAAGTGCCCTGTTTCAACAGTCACCGAGGTGTCGTCCTCCATTTCAGATTCTGGCTGTTCCTGAGCTGTGTTTTCAGGATTGTCAGACGATCTGTGATGGTCCGGCTGAAAAGAGGACCATGTCGTATTGTCTGCATGCACTTCAGGAATGTTGAAGTACCGACGCCAATAATTGGCAAGGCGAGTGGCTTGGTCCCAACTGTTGATGTGTCCTCCATCATACGATCGGACATGACCAACAATTCCGTTGAAGAAGAATTCCGCTTAGCGGTTGCGTTCCACTCCATAGCGATCGACTTCTGTGATCATCAGTCGACTGGGCCGACCTGAATCGGGAGGCGGAATGACCTCTTTGAAGATGTGAGTGTGAAGCACTCGATGATTCTGTGAAAGTTCCGATTGTAACGGATATGCCTCTTCAGGAATACTTGCTGAATTGGCAGATGGTAAAGGAACCGAAGGAATCATGGCAGCATAGCCAAAGTGTTGAGGTTCACCCATTGATCCTGAGGTCTCATGTCTGGAATGAGCTAAGCCCCAAGAATGGTTTGCATTCGAAGATGAAGAAGCACCATCCGAAGAAGCTGCACCGCGATCGCGACGGGCTTCGATCACCACTTGACGGCGACGTGGTGAGCTCATGAGGACACGGGGGGATTCAAGATTGGCGAATGAGGAATCCCGTTTTGTCATGATCCAGACTGAAGCCAAATGAAGCAAAGCTAGGAAAATAAAACATGCAAGGAAAGACAAGACGTTCAAAACTGGATGGACGTCACTGTGACAACAAGCGCACATGGTCATTTTTTGACAACCATGGATCAAGGCAGCATATTTGGGTTGGGGAGTGCCTGGTGGCAACTCAATCGCATTATGTACGGTTGATCCGGATTATCAAAATCCTTGATTGCATTAAATAAGATTCCTAGGTCTTGGCCTTCAGTCCAATGAGGGCGGTGTGCTCGTAGAAGATCAATGAGGATTTGGTGATTACGAATGATGAACATGTCACCTGTGCTGTCAGACCAACGTAGATCCATAGAAGAAGGCTCAAGATAGACACCCCAGGTGTTCTTGATGTGCTGACTGATGTAGGAGAGGATAGTCTCCACTGTGAGAATCTGAGTTTCGGCTGGAGCTACCAAGAAGCTGTACGTGAACAGTGCGTATTCTTCAAGTCTGCCAAGTGTAGGTAAAGCATCACAAGTAGTGATTTGCATAGCATCGCTATGACGGGCAGTCACAAGATATTGAACTTGGGTTAGGTCGATGATGACCAAAACCCGTCTGGTTTGACGGAGCAATGGGTGTAGTTCCAACTATCAGTATAACGTGGATCACGCGGACGGTCTGGGTTCCGATGGCTCCACATGGGTTGATCATCCCTAGAACGGGAGCGATCAGAGGGTACAGATACGTAACTAGACGAATGAGCCATAATCACTAAGGAGATACCAAAGGAAACCCTCCAATTGACTACAAGGATCATACAAGAACAGCACCAGAAATCTGATTCAAATAAGGGCAAGACGAAGCAGCATCTTTTTTACGCTTCTCCTTAGTCCTCGGCCTCGGGTTCGTTCCCAGGCGTTTCCGTGCCGTGTTGGGCGGACATTTGTCTCAACAAGTTCCAGCGAAGTTTGCATACTTGTGGATCTCGACGTAGTCTGGCACCGATCGACTTCCACGATGGTCTTGATTTGCTGTCATTCTTGAGATTGATCAACTCTTGATCTTCATAATCGGTCCAAGGTCGGATATTAGCATGAGGAGTATCTCGATCGGATTCTGTGGGTTGCAGAATTCGAATGGTAGGATTGGTTGGAGGACCTTTTGGGAGTGTTTTTGGATTGGTAGCAAGTGGAACTGGTGAAGTGGGTCGATCAACTGGCATGGCGGAAGTGATAGTCGCAGGGTTGGTGGTGACTATTGAGTCATCATGAGCTGGGTGGGCTGTAGAGACAACCTCCTCTTCATTGGAATCTTCTCAGTTGAGTCCATCCAGAGGGACCTCCGTAATAGTCGGCAGGGAAATGGCTGGGATTGGCGGTGAGTGGATCGAGGTGTGCCCTGAGCGTTGTTTTTTCTTCGGGTGTGGGTCCTCGGGATTGTTCGAACGTTGTTTCGATCGAACTGGAACGGCAGTTGTGGACGTACGTGTCGTCGCTTGCGAAGAGTCAGGTACCGTTGAATGTGGAGCTGGAGGTAGTGGGTGACGAGTATCGTTGTGGGGATGACGGAGTGTGGGAAGAGTGGCTGGATGGACTTCGTCATTGCATGGACGACTGGCAATGGACAATGGACGAAGATTTGGTTCAGGGTTCAAAATCATGTGGGTGGGAATCCCTCCATGAGATGCCATTGTTGGTGCGGATGAGGAGGAAGGGAGAGGAACAAAGGTATGAAGGTTCCTCTGGGCTGGGTTTGATCGTCCCACACGGGTGTGAGAGTCCCCAATTGATTCGTCCCATTCAATTGCCGGTTCAAAGAAAGGAAGAAATCCTGCGAGGCAATTCAAGTGCATAATGGCACGAGCAAGATGATGATGAAACTCACGACTTTGGGCGTGGTCCACGATGAAGTGAAGCACCCAGTTACGAAAAGGCAAGACGAGTTTGAGCCAGGCTGAGCAAGCGAAACATAACTCAAGAAACGAAAGGACAAAACCTAACCCCACAACAGAAAAAAACAAAGAAGAGAGGATCCTAATCAGCCAGAAACTTTTGCTCATGCGTCTGAAGGTTCTGATGCTGAATTAAAATGTGAGATGAAATGGTGTGGAGTTCCTCATTGGGAAAGCCAGCCAAAGTGTACAAATGAATTAATTGGTCAAGCCCTTGTCGAACACGAAAGTCCGGAAATGCCCCTTTGACAACTATATGGCAGCGAGAGCGAAAGCCACTGAGAAGCACCTTTGGTGGAGAAGCCGAGAACGGCGATAGGACCTGGGAAATGTTGGTAGGTCCTTGGTAGATAAGTTCCAAGGGTTTAGTTTCGAGCATGAAACCGAGGAACTCTTGGTCAGGTTCAGTTTCCAGGATGATTGGTTTCCCGTAGAAGCCTTCCCGTAGAAGCCTTCATCCAACAGTACTTCATATATGGTGGGAGGTCACAAAGACGTGAGTCACCGAAGATGAGACGGTTGTCAACAAATCTGATGTGGCGGATGAATAAATGGTGATTGCTGAGGATTTGTTTGAAGTTGATGGACCAGATTTGTTCGCTGATAGAAACAACCATGAGGCAAAGTGCTGGAGAAAGTGGACTGCCCATGGGACTGCCTCGACACTGACGTATGCACTTCTGGCCCAGAGCAATTAATGTCTGCATATTCAGTGCCGACTTGATGAGGTCAGGAACATCTTTGATGACGATCTTACGGGTGACATTGAGTCGACGGAAGGTTCGACCTTTGATGATGCCACCTGGATTATTAGTTTTTCCCGGATACACCGAGAATGCTTCATTGTCGGAAACATCCATGTGGGGTCGCAGGAAGTCTAAGAGCATGAACCAGGCCCCGATGAATCGATCTTGATCAATGCTGGTGAAGACGCCAGCTAGGTCTTGATTCACCAGGATGAGGTCTGCATCGATAGGTGCAGACTTGAGAATGGAGAGAGAAGTGTATAGACATCGTGGAGGCAAAGTGGTTTGGATAAGCCCCTGGGATCAAATGGAAAATCATTCTAGCAAGAATGTTGAGCATGGGGCGAAACGGGGAGTCCACAAAGGAAATTATTGGTTGGCCACTCCGAAATTCCTTTTTCCGTTTTGCCAGAATGTAGCCCGCTGGCAGTTGTCGGCCATGTCCAACCGCCCAAGGGTAGGATTTGCCATGTTGATGTTGGAGGAGGTCGACAAGGGATGTGACTAAACAGTCAGGATCTTGAGAGACCGGTTCGAAAATAGA